AAGAACAAATACCAAAGCATGAAAAAGAATTCTAGGTAGCACTATCATCACCTCCTCAAGCTAATAGTCCAGTTGGTTCTTCAAAATCAGTTACGAGAAATATAAGAATCATATATAAGTGATATATGATGCCACAAAAAGAATTAATCTTGATAATGCTAGCATGTTTTGTTTGTTTACAATTAATGATTTTATTACATTTAAAGAAACTTCTTACTAAGCTAAATGAAAAAAAGCACTGAATAAAGAGTCAGTGCTATTAATAAAAAAAAGTACTTGAAAGCTAACATCACTTTATGAAGGATACAAAATAATAGAAGTAAAATGGATCTTTAAAACTAAAAGAAATACAACAGAAAAGGTTAAGAAATATAAAGTTAGATTGGTAGCAAAAGGAAACAAACAATATAATATGATTAATTATAAAAAATCATTTTTACTTTAGTTATAATAATGGAAACTATAAAATTGTTTATCTTAATGGCAGCACATAAAGATTATTCAAGATGTATGTTAAGTTTTTTTTTCTCAAATAAAATCTTGAAGATGAAGTCTATGTAGAGCAAACACCTAGATATGTTATTGAAAAAGAAGAAAAAAAATGTGCAAGCTAAAGAAAACTTTTTATAGGCCTAAACAAGTATTAAAAGCATAAAATTATAAGATTTATGATTATTTTACAAAAAATGCTTTTGTTAGATGTCTGTTTAAGTATGTCTTTTATGTGAAGAACAACTCACAAGGTAGTATGATGTTTATTTGTTTATATATGGATGACTTAATTTTTACAGGTGATGATTCATCATGATTGAAGAATTCAAGCAATTTATGGTAAAGAAATTTGAAATGACAGACTTAGGTCTTATGACCTACTTCCTAGGAATTAAAGTGAAATAATTTAATAATGAAAATTTTCTTTCATAAACTAAATATGTTGAACATATCTTGAATAAATTTGTTATATAAGATTTTCAACATATAGATATACTAGTTGAGTGTTGAATTAAGCTAACAAGAGAATAAGAATAAGCATTAATGAATCCAACTTATTACAAGAGCCTTATAGAGTATTTATAATACTTAATATGTACTAGACCTAATATTTTATTTGGAGTTGGATTGGTTAGCAAGTTCATGGAGAATCCAAGGAATTCACATTTGAAGGCATAAAAAAGAATTTTTTATTTTATCAAACGATCTTTCAATCATCATTTTTTTTATTCATCTTCATAAAATTTCAATATCAGTGGTTATAATGAAAATTACTAGGATGAAAATCTTAAAGATAAGAAAAGCATAACTGGTTTTATGTTTTATTTTAGAGAAGCTATTTTTACTTAGTCTTCCAAGAAACAACCTATTGGTGCATTATCAATATGTGAAGTAGATTACATTGCTATATCTTTTTTTTATGTATATCATGCAATGTGGTTGAGAAAAAGTACTAGAAGAGTGACAATAATAGTAAGAAACAACAAAAATGTATATTGATAACAAGTCTACAATTGCATTAGCAGAAACTCAAGTTCATCATTAATAATCAAAGCATAATGATACTTGTTTCAATTTCATAAGAGAGCAAGTGGAAAGAAAATGAGTATATATTTTTACAAAATCACTTAAGGTAGACATGTTTTGACACCTGGAGTCTTCTGGAGTTGATTTGTTTAAGAACAAGTAGTGTGTGTGTGTGTGTACATAGACACATACAAAATCATTTAAGGCAGAAGTATTTTGGCAGTTGTAGAAGAAGCTTAGAGTTATGGTGTTTGAAAAAACAAGTTTAGAGGAAAAGAATATTAAATGTTAAAATTATTTTGTACAAAACTAAGAATTAAGAAGTTAGAGCTAAAATAATTTAGTCAAGTATATTATTTAAGTTCTTTGAGATTTTTAAAAAATATTACTAAATATCTATACAAAAGTAAATGTACTTTTAATATAAGTGTGAGAGCTAATAACAACAATTATAAATTTTTATAACTCTCGCTATCATTTAACTGTAAAAGAGACACTTTGTTTCTAGTTCCAGTGATTTTGTTTCCAATAGTAGGATTTATTGACCAATTAATATAAATCACCAATCCAAAAAATTATTACTCTTCTAAAGTTGTTGGTTATTGGTTCTTTTTTGGTGACGTTATTAATGTTATTATTTTATTGAAGTCCTCTGCTTCTATTGTCTTTAATTTCTATTGATTAATTAACTGTTTTTTAAAATAAGTAGTTTTTTCATTGATATGTTCTAATTTTAGACTGTATACATTCTTCCTTTATTGTTTCATTATCTTTTTTTTTCTTTTCTATAAAGTCCAAGGGCTATTACTCTTATTGTTTCAACTCCCATTATATTTACCTCCTTTGTGGTTCATCTTTGCTTCAAGTTAACTAATTTAGGATCATTGTTTTTATACTTGTAATCTATAAAAACAAATCTATTTTTTATTAATTATTTCATAGGGAACCAACTACAAACATTTATCTTACCTTTTGCTAACAACATATTTTGAACTTACTTCAACCATAAGAAAGCTTTTCCTTATAATCTGATCTCAATCAATTGTCTTATCTTCTTATCTAATAATTTTAAATATTCTATAAATTTATCACAATTAGTAAATTGGTCCATGAATTTCTCGACACTCAAATCTCCATTGAAAGTTGTAACATAAATCTTCAAACAAAATTCATTCACCTTATAAGAACATCTTTCATTATCAGCCCTTCCATAATAGGTAAAAATTTTGCAACCTTCATCAATCTCATCATTTATGTTTTGCCACCTTGCTATTTAAAAATGTTGAACAAAAGATAAATGATAATAACTTATTTGTTCATATGCCTTGTATAAAATATCTTTGTAATCATCCATTACAAACTTTAAAATTAATAATTCTCACAAAATTTGCTGTGATAAAATTTTAGGCATGCCAATATAAATTTTATCATATCTTAAGTATAATACCATCAATCTTCAATATTATAAGTTTATGTCTCGTAAGAAATACCTTCTTATAATAACGAATATTTTTAGTTGAAAGCATACTTCCAATTCTTATAGTTATCTAACAAAGGAATTTCATCACAATATAAAACTTGTTAATAAAAAAGTTAACTACGAAAATGTCCTTAATGCTTTGCCTAATGTAAACATCACTCTTTATATAATCATGTTTGCTTATATAGGTTTGCCTTAAGGTAAGTCTTTAAACACATTTATCTTCTTGTCATGTTATCTATTTGTGCCTCTCTTTAATAGTTGACCCAGCTAATCAAATCTCTATAATTGGATTTTTTATGTTGCCTTTTGAGCCCTTGTTTGCCCTAAATAACCTCTACTATTACATCATAGGGTGTTATGATGTTGTCAGTATCTCCATTTGTTAAAGAAGCCAACCTATTTTGATACTAACTAACGCAACGTAGAGTGATAAGAAATTATGGTTTTTTAAACTCTGAAATTTTATAATTCTAAACTAAAAGGTTTTGAATAAATTTTATGAATAATCAATCTTTTTTATGAAAACAAAAACACTTAAACCTAAGTAATGAAAATGAAACCCTAGAAAAGAAATCCTAAAATATCTAGGAAAAAATAGCTTTCTTGAACAACATATTCTAAGCAAAATTTGAATATTTTTTCCAAGCTTAGATAGCGATATCTAAATAATACTACAAGGAACAAGGCATTTAGAACATGCTAGCCAAATTTTAATCCAATACAATAATTAGATCAAAAGCTATACATGTTATTGCCAAAAAAACCCCTTTTGGCTCATTCAAACTTCTTCTTGGACTTAAGGCTTTTCAATCTATTTCTTGTGTCCTCTTCTAATCATGATACTTGTTTGCACCAAATAAATTTCGATAGTAGGGTTTTTTACATTAGCTCTCAAGCTTTTATAATATCTTTGATGACTTCTATTTTTGTGTCTTAGGATAGCATGATGTTGCTATTGTCTTCATCTATCAAACAAGCCAACTTGCTCTAATATTAATTGACACAACGTATAATGAGAAGAAATCAAGATTCCTCAAACCCTAAAATTTACAACTTTAAACTATAGAGAAAGAAATTATAAACTAAATTTTTTTAATTAAAATTAATGAATAATTAATCACATAAAAAACAACTCATAAAATGATTTAAATAGAACTTATAATGAAACCTAAACCAAACAAAATTCTAAAACCTAATGATAGAGGAAAGAAATCCTAAAACAACAAATATAAAAAATATTACAAAATATTTTCTAGGCAAAATTTAGGCTGGTTTTCAAACTAAAATGAAATTAAATATGACCTTTAAAATGTATCTAATAGTTGAATTGAAATTCATACCCGTTTTCATTATAAAAATCATTTAACATATTTTAACTTTTTTTTGGACTTGTTGATACATACCACACAGGTGTTAGGAAAGGGATTCGTTTGTTTTTATTTAACCCCTTTTTTTAGGGGGTGTAATTGAACATTATTATATTAGTCCAAAGAACAAGAAACCATTTTGTCTGCACCATTTACTGTTAATGCTGGGAAAAGGATGTTTCTTGGCTTGTGTCTGCACTCTAAAGCCAGCGATCTCATGGCCGTAAAAGCGTATTGCAGTCAAGCATGGATGCCCAAAGGAATGTTCAATTTTTCACTTAACCTTGTAATGTGATTTATTTTGATGTAATTTTAAGACCACGGCTTCCAAACTATCATTATCTTTTTGTCGATCATCCAAATTGACGAAAGCATTCTTATTTTCTAGGACACCCCTCCATTCCAAATCCAATTTGCAATGTTTATAATGCTTTTTGTTACTTTTCTTAAAAACTGACAGAACGAAGAGGATTATATTCTTCTGCAAGTGTCCCCAGCAATTGGGACAAGCCAAATACAAGTTCTATTTTCATGCACCAAAGGCTTTAAGCATACAGCCATTGCTTGAACATTTTTAGATACAATGAAAATATCGAAAACGAACTAAATCACAATGAATGGAGTTAATTAGAAACTAATCAAATGCGTGAAATTCAATAACAATAGCATGTCTTGAAAATAATCAAAGTACAGCTCCTAGCATATTAAATCCAACATTGTCCAATATGCAACGAATGAATCAAAAGACAAACGCTCAAACACATGACTACAACAGCTGAAATCATATATTAAAGCAAGAAAACCAACCTATAGATAATAATAATAATAGCTGAGAAGGAAATTAAATAGGTTATGGTGAACACCATAACAAAGCAATCAATGTGCCCATAAGAAGCGTTGACAATGAACCAAGTGTCACTGAGACAAATACTCCTGAACTTGGTTGTGGGGATGGTGCTAGCTGCCCAGCTGGTGGAGTTGCAGTAAGAGGAGAATGGTGGTGCAGACCCATCACTTCAATTAGCAAACGCTGGCCACCCATGCAGTGATTTGGGGTTCCACTGATGTAGTAGAAAGGCCCTGGCCTGTCAAGCTTGAACACGCCATGACCATTGTTGAAGGCAACGATAGGTTTGCTACCGTCACAGTGATAGTAACCCCACTTGTCTACTTCAATGACTGAATCATTCTTATACTCGAACGCTGCAAAGAAGCAAACAACGAACGTATCAGAAATCTGACAATTTAAAAGCTGCTGGCTGCACAAAAAGAAAACTTTGTTTTAGCTGGTACTCGTTTTCTTGCGAGGACACCTGTGGTCATAAATCATTCCTTGCTGGTTTCAGAGATATGACATTTACATATAGGACACAACCATTTTTCCATGTTTACTTTCATAAGCAAGTAGAACAACAGCATCTTCTTTTTTTCATGACGAAAGAAAATTTTACATTGCAAGACTGAGTATAATGTCTTTGTTTTTTCCCCTCGATAACCACTAACCTAAAAAAGAGGCAACCTAAAGAAGTTGCATGGTCTTCCCATTTCTATCAATGGTTTAACTAACTCAACTTTATGCATCATTTGCAGCGAACAAAAAATGAAAGAAACTTTATAATTCCATAAACGTTATCATTAACATTGCATATAATTGTTTTATAAACTGCATTCTACCATATACACATCGATAAACTGAAAACGGTTGCCCACTTTGTGAAGTATTTTATAACCAGAGAACATGTTGCGAGGGAGGGAGATAGTGTGGCAGATTTTTTAGCTAAGGAGAGTTTAGGGAGAGATGATGCTTTCATTGCTTGGTTGTAAATTTTCACTCTTTTACTTGCTTCTGTCAGAAACAAGCTGCCAGAGCTTTTAATAGATATATTCTCGTCATTCATCAAAAACAAAACTTGGTTGTAGAAGTAGAAAAAAAAATCATAAGGAAAATATATACCCAAAATTAATCTAGCTAAAAGGTGATGAGCTAACTGTAATAAACTCACAGAGAGAATCTCCAACTTGGAATCTGTTCCTTGTAGCCCACTGAGTGTACACGGCAGAGCTGTTCTGTCCAGGTTCTTGCCATCCTAACTCATCCCCAACTTTGAACACCTTTTCTGCATTTAACAAACCAGTAGTAATGATAAAACAAGTGCAAAAGAAAACCGCAAAAGATGCCATTTTAGTGATCTTCATTGTTCTCTGTGTATCTGGCTAGATGGAGAGAGAGATATATGACCAAAAGTTAGCTTGCTATGATATAACGGACGTGGGTTCCTGCAGTATATATAGCTGCATTGTTGCGAGTAGTAGTGGGTAGTTAATTTTAACTCGAAACGTGGGGGTTTCCATTAATCAAGTAATGGATCATTATGGGGATACTCGTGAGTGGATTTGTGACCGTTATGATTTGAAGAAATCCAGAATTCATTGACTCTTTCAAAACATGACTTTGCTGGGAGTTTTTACAGCAACTTCTTCAAATTTAATAATATCATAATAAACATTAATTTAAAACTTTCTATCGTGTAAATAAGTAGAATGGAATTAATTGAAATTAAGTTCTTGGCCACTTATGCTATTAATTACCGACGCAACAAGTTGATCGAGCTTATATGTTAAGGTGTCCTTTGCTTTTTGATTGATCCAGAAGCTAATTTAATGTTTTATTTTTAAAAAAATTTATTAAAATAATAAAAAATAAATCTTATAAATTAAAAATTTGAATAAAAATAAAATTAAAAAAATATTATTTCATAAATTATTTCAAATAAAATAAATAATAATCAAAATAATAGAGATCAAATCTAAAAAATAAAAGATAAAAGATAAAAAAATTAAAATAATAATATTAATATTTCATAAATTATTTCAAATAAAATAAATAACAATTAAAAGAATGAGCATCAAATTTAATAG